CCAACAAGCTTTGGCGTTATCACGGTCCAGGACATTTCAGTTGGGACGAAGTGGACCACATAACAAATGACGCTGCTGAAGACGTGACACCTGAAGAAGCCACCGTCAAAGAAGAAACTCTACTCAGTTTTGAGAAGGGAAATGATGAAGCTCTTGATGAAGTTACTACCACTGATGTGACTGTTACCGACGATAAGTCATTTCCTAATGAAGTAGATGAACCCCACGTGAAGCAGAAGCCAACGAGACGGAGACCATTACGGAAGAAGATACGTCCCGTAAAATTAAGAGACTTTGTTGAATTGTAATTTTGTGTTTGTAATTCTGTACATTTTGTTTACTTTTTACTACAGTAAACATTTTTTTTATTTTTTTTTGTACATAATATAAACATTTCAACTACATTTTGTTGATTGTGACATAGGTTTAACATATGTGTCATGTTTGAAGAGTTTATCTTATGCTGTACTGATTTCAAGTAAATTCTGTCTAAAAGGACTTATTCCCTTGATTTAAATTTGTGTAGGGTTAACATGTAATGTGATTTTAGGGTGGCACTGTAGTACGCCTCATAGCTTACATCACTAAAATGTGGGTTTTGATATCCACAGTGGGCAGAGCACAGATAGCCTGTTGTGTAGCTAGGTGTAGTAACAAAAAAAATCAAACAAAGTATGCATTCCATATTGCAAATATCTCAAGCAAATTTGTAAATCTATTTGTTCTTAAAAATATTCTAAATCTTTATGATATTGTATAAGGTTAGTATAAAATTCTCATTTGTATTAAGATATAGAGAATTTAATAAATTTTTTAAAAATGTAGTGTCAATCAAATGAAGCAAGAATTGTTCACCACTTACAGTGTATAAGCTTTATCTAACTTTTTAAGTATAGTTTTTGTTTCATTTTAGGAAGCTAAGTTGTTCATATGAAATTTAATGTGTATCCATGTTAACGAGGTATATCAAACTTTATTAAATATTGTTACATCTCTGGTCGTTTGTTAATTTCCCGTATAATTTCTTTCTGATGAAACTTCAGCGATACAAGTCCTTTCTTAAATAAAACTAGTTTATTCTTTCTCAATTCAACTTTGCAATACACTTAATTTTCACAATCACCTTAACTTAAACACATGCTATAATTTACAACAAACAATTCACACACTTTACCGTGCTTGACTCAATTGTCCGTCTCTATTTCTGCCTGTCTGCAATTCTATCTCAATTTATTGTCTGGCGCACATATATACAAGAATACCGCACATCTAGTAAACACTCGAGCATTCACAAACCTTCGAGAATATCATAACGTGTTACTAGCGTCACGTGACTTTCGCTGTCGTAACAATATTTTTTAACATGAAAATTTTTTATTCACTTATGTGATAAGATTATTTTGCTTGATCATGCACATTTTTAGTTTATCAATACCTACAAAACTCTTTATTTCAGGAAATCCATTAGAAGAAAAACACAACCAGATAGGAGATTGGAGGGAAAAAGCAACAGTTGTCTTATCACACTTAAAAAAAGTTAGATGGTGAGTGTTTCTTTCCTCAACGAAAGAGTGTGGACCCATTTTCTTTAGAACATAACTTTTCTCTGTCACTTAAGGTATCCTTCTGACAAAATATATTCTTAAGTATAGCTTGTTATAGCTTAGAAGTTAGTGGAATATGTTTTATTTCCATTTATTTAGTTACAGAAGCTTTGTGGTTCCATTCATAATTTATAAAGACACCTGCTTGAACAAGTTTTAAAGCTGTATGTAACAGTAATGTTTTTATGTATAAAAGAAAATGAATATTTTGGAATAAAGTGACAATTTGGTAGAATTTATTGTACAAAGTTGCACTTCAGTTCGTAGCTATAAAGGTTCATGTTTAAATTAATGATGCTTCTAAGACAATGACTGTTGTTCTTATTATTGTACAATGTCAAAATGATAAAGTTTAATTAGATATATTAATAGACCAATTATATCATTCTATTTTGCCAGTGAGAAATATTATTGGTTGTGGTCACAGCAAATAAAGCTGATAATCAACTTTTTTATGTAATTGTAGGATAGGATGACATAGAGGGGCCTTGTGGTGAAAATACAGTGGTGTTTGAACAAAAAAATATAATATTCTATTTTGCCAGCACTTGCAATGACAATTCCAGTAGTGTGTTATTATTGTAATAAACTAATGAAATAATGTATTAAAAGTAGTATTATCAGATCTTCTTACTGCCCATTTCTGTTTTAAATGTGGCATATTTAAATCTTTTCAAAATTTATTTTCGTTTGTAAATTGGGCTGTTCTTTGTTGAAAGAAATGAGATATTTAGCAAATGCCTTATCAATTTCCCACAGCCTCGTAAGCATAGGTTTCAATTATAAATCGCTAACTTCAATCAATAGTGATAAATTTCCATTATTTCTTTTCATAAAATTATACTATGTGATATTTAGTATAACAAATCCATTGAACAATTAATCATTGAAATAAATATACATCTAAACAAGGCTCCCAACTGTGGGCCAAGAAGAAGGCACCAGCAGTGGCTACTGTTATTGACTTCACTTCTGAAAAACCTAGAGGATCACGAATAACTACTACTATTGTTTCAATGACTGACAGATACACTGCTGCATGTTCTAAAAGGTGTTGTGATGCAGGTGCTATAGTTCCCACATAGTACATTACCTCTTCTCACATAAATAGCTATTCTCGTTCTGTGCTGCCCTCTATATTCAGTACTGATTCCAATGTGTCTCTCATGCAAATAATCGTGCGTCAACCCTCCATCAATAAGAGTATGACATACTCTCATGGCACATGTGACTCCCTCTATTCAATTTGATCGAACTATCACTTTTCGTTTGGCAGTATTCGTGTTCAGACGTTTTTCTTTTGGTACTCTTTGTGTGAATAGTGATTTTAATCATTTAATTTCCAAAGTGGGATTTTGTCATTAATATATTTTCTCACACTTGCATTTTTACATCAAACACTTTTGTTTGGTTTAAGTATTTATACATTGAATTCTGAGGTTCATGTTCCCACTTTGAGTGTTATACCTCTAGCACTATTTTCAGAGGCTGCAGGAGGGGGAAGACCCATTGTGAGATTGATCATTGTACGGGTCAACCTTCTTCTCCTGAACTTGCCACACTAATCCCCCTGAACAAGCCCAACCTGTTTGGGCTAATGAAGATTTTTTAGCATTTTTACAAAACTGGATTTCGCTGTGTTTCGGCATGATACAGAATTTTTCGACATGATTTCTCAGGTAAATTATGTTTTATCCAATTCCCCGTTTTTATATGATTCCTTATTCCTTCCATTTTGGCTCGTTTATCCTATTCGGCTCTTGCTTTACACATGTGTACATTTGCTACTTTTTTTAGGGGTTTCTATATTTTTTCTGTGGTAATGTGTTTTCGATCACGTATCTGAGACTTTGGAACCTCATGTGTAATCTGTGCTTCAACACTCAGCCCTTTTCTATTCGGTTGCACGTTTGTTGCAGTTGAAACCATGACATACCCTATTCCTTTTCCTTTATGGTCTTTATCTACCCTTTCCAAGGGTTTCTCATCTCATCGTTCTATTCAACATTGATGGGCATGTCATCAACTGTACCAGAGACTAACCAGAGGGTTCCAGTCCAGTGGTAGCTTGACTATATTATACTGTTACCCTTTAGCGATTTTTCACTACAATTCCATGGGTTCTTCAGTTTTCATCAGAGGGATTTGTCCTTCTATTTTTTCTCCACCTTCTTTGTCCCTGGTACCTTTTTTCTTCCCCAAAATTTGGGATCCTGCCACCAACCTGCATATATGTAAAGTGGTACAGAATTTTCTATCTCTACAGGCCGTTGTACATGTTTCATCTTTCTCCAGGCTTTTATTCCAGGCTGTTTGTTGTCTTCATGCCAAATCAGAGACTGGTGACATGTACTAGGTTTGTCCTGCGTCATTCTCATTTTCAATCTGCCCTGTTTTACCCTGGAGTTGTTTCTCTCCATTAGGTGAGCTTTTTCTCCAGGTTTATTGATGACAAAGAAAAATTTTGTGAATGCTTATTTGCATATCTCGATATTTCATCACTCACAACCCTCTCTTTGGTTTATTCTCCATGGGGTGGTTTCACTGTTCCATGCACTGCCCTTCTGATTTGTTTTGGCGCTGTATGTCTTGTTGGGCATTCATTCATCCCTCATATGCTCTTGGGTTGTGCTTTTCTCTTTGGTTGACTGGCTACTGTTCACTCATTCCACACAGCAGTCTGCCTGTTACCCTTATCAGCTGCTCCTGTGGGTGGCTCTATGGACTATTAATCAAGTTGGAGAAGTCCTTACTGTTACCTATCCAATATCTTGACCATTTGGATGTTTTCTTTTTCTACACACATCTCAGTCAGGCCTACCCTTCTCCTCTTAAACTTCATTCAATGAGTTTTCAGTTTGATTACAGTTTGCGAAGTTTTATCATTTGTGGATGGAATCTTCCATGGGAGCCTTTATCCCCTTAGGTCAGGCTCATGTGCAGGCTCTTTCATGGGCTTTTTACAACCAGTGAAATTTTGTCAGCTCTTGTTACCTTTCTTCTTATCCTTGTCATCGCTCAGCTTTCGTGGTTAGATCAGAAGGTGTCCATCTTTCTCCTCATCCAGTTTTCCACATTTCATGGATGCATCCCTTTGGGGATGGGGGCATGGATTGATCATCTAGAAGATTCGGGATTTTTGGTCTGTGGCCAAGAGGTCTTATCCTATCCACATCCTGGAGCTTCTTGCTGAAGATCATGATTTGATTCATTTTCTCCATCTGGCCAGAAATTGTCTGGTAATGATCCATTCTACCTTTTCTTCAGTGGTTACTTATATTTATCATTAGGGCAGCAGCACCCCTTCTCAAACCCTCTGTATTCATATTTTGGATATTTTTGGGCCAACACGTTCAATATTCCTATCATTGCATGTCATGTTTTGTATGCTTTCACTCTTGTTGTGGATAGGATTCCCGTCCAGACACCATTTATCTGATGGAATGGTCTCTCGATCTGTTTGTTTTCTAGTGGCTTTGACTTCAATGGAGTACTCCTCACATAGAGGCTTTTGCTTCATCCTTTAAACACAAATTGCATGGTTTTGTCTCTGGTTCCTTGTCTTCTTGCTCTGGCTATCGATGTTTTCAGCCAGAGGCAGTGCAGGACCACATTAATATTCCCACACAGAAGGGCAGCCTGCCATAGCAGATAACAAATCCTGAAGGAACACGTCCATAGTTAAAGTGTAGGAGAGGTAATTACCTGCAGGATCGGGAAAAAAGGAAATGTGTGGGACAAGACTGCCCAAAAATCCAAGACCAAGGAGAGAGAAGACCTCTAATCCAAAAGTCAAGAGAGGAAATCCACATGACAAATAATAATGGGTTGATCAGGGAAAACTTTGGACCCAGAAACCAATGAAGGAAAAATTCCATTTGTGTTGAGAAATGTAGGAAGGACGAATGAAACAAGCCAGAAAAGAGGCTAACAGTCGGGAGAAGCTGGATCACCTCGCCAATTACCAGGAAAACCAGGTGTGAAGACACAGGACAGGAAGGTCTGGATGAAACATTACTGAGGGTGGTGAAGAAGGGATGAAGACAAGAGAAAATGGTAACAGAGGAGGAAGTTGGAGCTGGAGAAGCCATGGAAACCACAGCTGAGATGGCCAGGAAAGAACTATCAGAAGAACTGAACATGGAATGTCAAGAATGAACGAAATCACATGGACAAGAAAGGAGAATAAGAGGATAGATAAATGTGTAGATCCAATCCACTTTGCTTGCATTTGAAACACTCTCCCAGTGCTCTTTGTTTCACTTTCCCTTATGTCTTCCTTCCTTTTCCTAATCGCCTGTGGACGTTGGTGATCTGTTTATTTACTATCAATGTTTCATGTACTCTTTATCCTTCTACATATCTTTCCCTTTCTCCGAATCGTTTTTCCTCCTTAACTCTTTGGTGGCTCATGAGGATAATTTCTCCATGTAGCTGCTTTCCTTCTGTTTCACACCATTATCCTTGTTCTGATCCAGATAGACTTCTATGTCCTGTACATGATCTCCTCTGTTATATTGCTCACATGGCTTCCTTCTGTGGTATCTATTCCTACCTTTTTCTTCCTTGGCAGCCATTTTCTGTTCGTGATCTTTCTCCTTCCACCTTTGCCATTTGAGTTCAGCTCTTCATTCGATTGGCTTCTTCCTCTTTATTATCTTCCTCTCGTATTCTGTTTCAAATGTCTTCTCACCCAGTTCAACATCTTACCTTTTCATTGACATTTCATCTTCATTATTATTTGGAGGTACTTCTTTAATCAGGCATGTGGACTACCCAACGAGACTTTGACTGAGTAAATTATTTGTTTCTTATTTTTCCTTTTTAGGGGTCTTTTCCCTTTTATTATGGTTCGTTGTTCGTATCCCACTCTGTTGTGAATGATGCCTAACAAGGTATTCTTTAACTGTTCAAATCTGCAGAGATGGGGTGTTCCACAA